TGGTAACACAAATCTACCCAGCACCATAAAAAGCACCGAGGGGTGGCTTGAGAAACAGATGTTGAATTCTTTGAGATGGATCCTTACACAACAATCATATAAGAGTAGCATCTTTCTACATTAATATACATACTTACTTCCAGGGAACTACTTTGTGAAGTCTCTCACTTTTCAGTGTGAATAACAGTATGGGAATTTAGTAAGTATAGATGTTTAATGCAGAAGTATACAGGCTTTCTGCCCAGGTCTGTTACTAGCTGTGTACTTTACTTCTTCCACAGCAAGTTAGAAGGAAACTCTTGATTGTGTAAAACTGATTTTATTAACTCTAACATAGCTGTTGACAAATGAACAAAGTGGAGATAATTGCATGCCTCTGCACTGTGCCTTAGGTCCCACAACAGATTATGATTAAATTTAAATGTTAAGGGAAAAAAGTTCCTTAAAAAAGAAAAAAAATCAAACATCCCAGCATTGTCTGCACATTACACAACTGATTGATTTAGCTTGAAATGCAAGACTCCTAATTTAACAGTTTAAGTAGGACTGGATTTGGGTGCACAAAATCAAGAGATCCCATTAACCTCTAGTGGAAATTGTAAAACAAAGGAATTAAAATATTTTTTAGTTGAATTTACAGAAAATAAGTTAGTTTTCTAGCTACCACCATATGAAATCTGTGGCACTGGGTGTAAGTTTTGTAAAACTTTACTAATGAAATAGCACTTGATTTCATGTATAGCCCTACTTCAATCATAAAGTCAAATTTAAACACTCCTATTTCCTTGATTTGCAGGTCACATTCAACTCTGTTTGTTTCAAGGGATGCACCAGACCAGTTTATTATGCAGCACTTACTGAAAAGCACTTCAGAACTAATGCTTCATAAGGGACAGGTACTTACAGTTCGTAAGATGACAAAACTATACATACAGAATGACTACGTGAACAGTTTCCGCATGCTTTTTAAAAAAATGTGCATTTATGCTCAAGTCTGATAGAAAAGAAAAAAAACACAACCACCAGCACCCCCAACTCCATTGCTTGTAGAGAAACATCTTATGCTTAAGAAGCAGCATATTCCATTGCATCTGTGTAAACATAAGAATTAAGATTTCGATATTTTTGAGCTTTACAGAAACACTGGTTAAAAAGTAGACAGGACAAACTACCAGAAAAAAGAGCTACATAACATTTTCCAAGGCTGTCAAGTAGTAGAAGTTTTTACCACAAGATGAATGTTACTATGAATGTAACTAAGTATCCTAAGAAAAAGTTCTTAATCACTCTTCTGAAATGCAAATTTATAAAACAACAAGCGACACTACCTTAGGAAGTGATACAGAGTTAAAACAGTTATTACAGTTTCTGATACACATGCACATACACGCCAATCAATTACTTCTATGTCTTAATATCTTGACTGTAGCAGACATTCAATAAAGTGATTGAATTGTTAGAAGTCAGACCGTTATCTTTGGCACTTACAATCCTTAAATAACAGGGCAGGATATCTTGAGGAAGAACTCGGGCAATTAAAAGTTGCAAAGACTCCAAGGTTCTGTCCATCTTGGGTCTGCCTTTCCAGAAGGCATCCACAAACTGTCCTCATGCCTAAATTAATTGAGTTGTGTATTGAATTTTTGCAGTTCATTCATGCACTGGATTCCTAAAGAATCTCCCCACATCTGCCAGTCAGACATTGCCTCTAACTCCAAGATCCTTCAGAGCGTCCAGCTCTCTGGATTGCTTATCTTTGCTGTATGCTGAGCTATTTATCTGTAAAGGCAGATGGACAGGCTCATTCTTATTACTTCCTTCTGTTACACACACCCAACTACATGCTAGGGTGAGAAAGAGTGAAGAGTTGTTTCATGAGGATATTGATAATATGCTTGAAGCAAAGATCATTCTGGTTTCTGCCAAATGAACAGAGACTCCCTTGCTCCCCAAGACTCTCACATTCTAGGGAGAGACCAAAAACATAAGGGAAAAAAGATATAAAGTTGCTCCAAACTCATCACCATTAAAATAGGATGTGGACTACTGTTTAAACAGTGAATTAACTAAAAGGTACGCTTTTCTTTTGCTTTCAATTAGGTAACAAGAACACAACTTTGATGGCAAGTGGAAAATTAAAAAGAATGCAAAAGTTGTATTAGGATAACTCAATTTGAATCTATTTTCCTGGAATGTAGTTTTCAATTCCATGTACAGTTAAGTGTATTAAAATGACACAGAATCAAACTATTTACATATGAAAGAACAGGACCTGTGGGTTGTTCAAGGGTCTGAAGAGGCACTCCAAACAAAAGACAGATATAGATGTGCTCAAAAGCCTGAAACGCAAATATACTACTGCTACACAGGTGTAATTTTTCCTTCAGACAGAAGGGCTGTTTGCAGCACCCATAAGCTACATCAACTAAAGTTACTTTGCTGGTACAGAGCACTTCTATATCAGTTCCAGTAAAGCCCTCTTGACTTGGAGAAAATCCAAAAGTAAAGGTGTGTTCTTTAGTTACTGTACAACCTTTTATTCCATGTTTCCAAGCAAAAGCTTTTTTTTTTTTTTTTTTTTTTTAAGGGTTTAGCAGTGGAAAATTGCTACACAACCTTGTACCTGTATCATTCAAAGTTTTAACACATACTGTTGCCTATATTGAGCGTGCATAGTACAATGTTTGTCTGGTCCTTACTAATTTTCGAATCTGGTTACAAATTAACAAACTAATGCTACTTTATGTGTGCTTATTAAAATAACACATTTTAAACCGATTTTGTTATAACCCACACCTTTCTTCCTGATGAATATGTGAATTTAAGATAGTCAATAACACTATTGTCTTAACCTCTACATTTTCCTAAGTTCATTCTAAACATTTTATTTTATATGTGGACATTCAAGTGGAGTGAGTACTCTGAAGTTAATTCAATTCGGAAACTTCACCACGACCTTTGATTTTAAATATTTCTGGAATTCTGCTGCTTTGGAAAAAAATAGGCTTAATATAGATATATTAAGCTGTAACTTTGAGGATTAGTTCCCCCCTTGTTAATTCCAGTCTCAGAAGAAGTCTCATCTGGCAGCATAAAGGAAAATGGTAACTTACAGTCAACACTTAATTACCTTTAAAAGAGTTAATGGATGTTGGATGTTTTAAAGGAACATTTTGAAGATAAACAGCAAATAGTTCCATCATCCTTTCTGTTCTCATGGTGCTGAATCACACCGACAGCCTTTGTATATTTTTGGAACCAATTACCAAGACAGACTTAAGATCACACATCAAAAATAACTCATTCACTGTGAGAAGTCTTAAATTAGAAGCCAAAAAGTGCATGCATATCTTAGCCAAAGAATGGTTACTCAAATCTTAAGCTGTCACTGAGCCAGTTGTTTAACAGATAAGAGCCTAGAAACATTAAAAGATTATTTTTCCTCTTAACATTTAAAACAGAAATGCAATTAAATTCACTTAGCTTGTTTTTCTACTGTTAAAATCAGCTCTTGCTGTATCAGGAAACAGGCTTACACACCTTGTTTGCAATCATGTACATGTAAGATTTAATCAGACTTCCTTACTTCTGTCAACAGACTTTCAGGCAGCACTGATGCTACAAGGAACACTTATCTACTGTTTCTCTCTACTGATGTGCCATATCCAGTTGCTGGCTGAGGTTGTTATATTGTTCCAGAGAGAAGACAAAAATTTAAAACTTTGACAGCAAGAGCATGTTGCAAGACAGGATAGAGGCTGCAACTCTTCAACAGCCTAAAACCTGAATAAGGTATTAGGCATATCATGTACAAAGGGTAAAAAACAGATAGTTTCAGACACGTGAGCAGAAAACCAAATGTCAAAGCCAAAGTTCCTGATTTCTTTTACTAACACAAGTAAAACATTTAAGAGTTTCCAAACTATAGATTGATAATATCAACTCTACCAAGATGTCCTTCCCGAAGAAGGGTTCCACCTCACATCACAAGCACAAAGTGGACAGATTAAAAAAAGAACAAAGAAAAATTTTAACTGCTCTCTCCTGCTTCAGGGTTCACAAACACTTCTCCCCTTATTATATGTTTTTAAATATAAAGATCATTTAATGTTACTACTAGACATATCTTGTCCAATACTAAAATAAAGATACTTGTTTTTCTTCCAGGTCTTCAGACTCCAAGGATACAACATAGTAAAAGTAATGGTATTATCTCTTAATATTACTATTTTAATTATTTAAATTATTAATATTTTTTCAGAGAGAAGTTCCAGAATCCTCATCACTTTATGTAAGTTATTATATATAAAAAAATTAAACTTCCTGTGCAAGCACATTAAAAATCTGAGTCCTTGACAGGTCTGTACAACACTGTTATTGTTGTATATTTTTTTCTGGGCAACACTTACATGCGAGTTCTTGGAGTGAAGGAAAAAAAAAAAAAAGAGAATTACTGGTTTCAAAGAATGCATATTCATCATATGGATTGCTCATGCCTGTACAGGTACAAAAGAAGTCTTAAGAATATTAACCACTATCGGGTTCATATCTGTGATTTTTTTAATTAAACCAAACAAGTAGCTTTACAACATGAGGGCAACATTTTAAATTTAGGTTTCATGTAATTGCAAAAATTGGTTTTAAATTTTCCCTTCCTTCCCTTTTAAGAGGAATCCTCCGTATAAGAGAAGATTCTTAATCTAAACAAACACATTACAAATGATTTAAAACAAGGTACTGTTGGAAATTACTGTAGTTAAATTATCTTAGCTGGTATTACGGATTTAATTTAAACTACAGTCAATGGTTTTAACCTAAAACACAAAACAAAACTTCCCAATCAAAATCACAGGAAGAGTGAGGTTCATTAACTTCCAGAAAAACATTTGGTCGTATAGAAGAGATTGCTCCAGTATATAAAAGGATTATTGGGTATTAGCATAATTCTGTCAACTGTATACATTATGAGTTTTCTCATGTTCTATGGGAGCTTTAATATATTATCCCCAGAAATTAGCTGCATCCAAGCTTGACTTAATGTTGTGCATATTTTCTCGACGCTGTTTGGTATAAATATTTGCCTCTCCTTTCTGCAGACGTTGCCTCAGAGCAGACTTTTGATGTTTCGTCAGTTGACGTTTTATCTTCTTTTTCACCAGTTCCTACAAATAAACAAATCAGTATCAGAAGTTTTTGAAAATCATTTAGTATTAAGACATGGCACAACAATAGTGCATTTTCAGTACCAACATGAACATGCACGATCCTAACCTCTGTACATGGAGAAGTTAGTGATTATAAAATAGCTCAACTAACTGAAAAGAGAGATTCTCTGCTATGGACAAAGTCTGCACGGCGTGCTGCATGTGTGCTGGAGTCGGGCGTGATTTCCAAATCCTCCTCCAGTCTTCTCCTGCTGTGAGGCACTCTCCTATTAGATTCACAAGGCCAGGACTGCCTCATGCCTCTACAGCAAAAGTACTGAAACAGCAACAGCAACTTATTTCCATAAAACTGCCGTAGTCTTATGAATTTTCATCTGTTATTTACACCTATGTTTTCCTTCTCAGTTCTACTCTTCATTAACAACGGCAACAATACCAATAATGAAGCCATGATTTAGTAGATTGTGGCACTGATTTTGTCATTTGGAAAATGACCTCAGTTCAAGCTGCTGCATTGATATTGAGTGCATACTTGCATAGCTTGTCTTGGAAGAAAAAGAGAAATAAAATTATTTTCATTTTGTAACTATCACATAATGATAGAATCATATCTTGCTGGAAATCCCAAAACAGTGTCTTATTTCTATTCTAATTAATTAAACATTAAAAAAAATATATCAAGGAATAAATCACCTTTAATAAAAGATCCACTGCTGTCCAAATAACTGCACAAGAGGAAAAATATCCAAGTAATTACATTTTCTTTACATGTAACCCAGTTTCAGTTGCCTTGTGCTCTGCCGATTGTATTGTCACCTCAACCTCACTGTAGCATATGAACTAGTAAGTTGGTAGGGAGTAAATCAGGAACCAGAAAGCATAATTTTGGCAAGTTATGCTGTTCAAGAATTGATGTAACTGATACAACTACAGTTATAAAATATAAGGTAGTCAATGAATCCAGCTACACAA